ATATTAATTTGTGTCTGGCAAACATGTTACTTATTTGCGATCTTTCTTTTTAAAAAATAGAGGTGTTTTTACATCTGTAAATTTCCCTTTGAGCACAGTCTTCATGGGATTGGTGAGTATTATAAATTTGCTTTCATTTTCATTCATCTCTAAGTACTCTCCAATTTTCTTTGTGATTGCCTCTTGACTTATTAGCTAAGAATGTATTGCTTAATTTCCACTTATTTGTAAACTCTGCAGTTTTCCTTTGATATTGATTTCTAGCTTTATGCCACTGTGTTCAGAAATGTTACTTCCTGTAATTTCCATTGTTTTACACTTATTGAGACTTGTGTTATGACCTAAGATACCTATTCTGGAGAGAATCCCAGGTGAATTGCTTTAAACCAAAGAACTTCCTTCAGTATATCTGGTAAGAGGGGTATGTTAACAATGAATACTCTGTTTTTGTTTACCTTGGCATACATTTTTTGGCCTTCATTTTTGAAAAACATTCTCCTTCCCCCGCTTTGGCAGTCTGATAGTTTCCCAAAACCTTCAGGCCTAACTGGTTCAGCTGACTTCCCTGTCTGTCCCCTTGGAGTTCAGTCATACTGTTGCCAGAATGATAGTTTTATAATGCAAATCTTTGGGCTTATTTCTTTACTTAAGACTTTTCAAGTTACCCATCTTTTTAATAATACTCCTCTCCCCAGAAAGGCTTAGGCTGTCCACCATCTATACTCAGTTTATCCTTGGGCTGCCATTCTAACCCCTTTTCTAGTCACACTGTACTGCTGGAGGCTTTTCCCATACATCTACTTCACACATCAGTGCCTTTTCTTTAAGTGCTCTCTGCCTGGAAGTCCCCCCTGTTCTCCCACCTCCTGACTGGGAAACTCCTACTCAATTCTCATGATGAAATTCAGTCATTGCTTCCTCTAGAATTCTTTCCTGATAACCTTGTTAGAGTTGGCCACTTCCTCTTTGTTTTGCCCCCAAATCTTCTAGTAGGGCACTTGTGGCACAGTTAGATTGCTCTTAATTATTTATCTGTGCATTTGCTTTCAACGGTTAGATTTGTAAAGGACATTAATATCACACAACATACCCTGAATACTTAGTATTACAGGCACATCACATTTTTCTACTTCCTTCCCACAACTCGATGGTGTAGATACCATTTCTGCCTCCATTTTGAAGATAAGGAAACTAAACCAGATGATTCAGGTTGTCAGATGATTTCTGCTAGAGGTGAGACTAACACTCTTGCTTCTTCCCATACTCCTAAACAGCAAGTGCTATGTCTTTAGTGTCAAGGTCCTACAAGATCCTAACTGTCTAATTATGTGCAACATATATATATATATATATATATATATTATATATATATGTATATGTATCACTGATAGTTCAGTGATTTTTTTTAATTTAAAATTAAAAAACAAGATTTTAAGCTCTACCATCTTTCTTATTTTTATCATTTATTTTTCTGTGGTGACTTACTATAAATCATAAATTTAAACAGATCCACTTCCAGCATTTCAGGGGCATTTAGGAAGGAAGATTGTGTCCTACTTTGCATCAAGTCTTTTATCTGCCTAGAGAGAACTGGAACTGTAAATTCAAGTCACTTTATATAAAATTCTGAAAACCTCAACTATCTCAAAGAATGTTAGCTAATGGCACTCCTCTAATCCTCAGAAACTCCTTGGTGTGGCCTTTGCTCTGCTACTGGTAGGTGAAAAAGCACCTATAAGGGACAAGATGGTTACAGGTAGTGAAAGTAATACAATGAAAGAAAACTGACTGGCTCACTAGGTTTTCTAAAAAGAAGGGAATGCATAATGTAAGTGCTTATGTGGGGAATGGCCCTATGGAATATGTCACCAGTATGCTATTTGGTGTTGTAGCATGCAATGGTAGCATCATGATTCAGCCCCTCTGTTGACACTTTGTGGTTCTGTAGTCTGCTCCCCTCTATGCTACTACTACACTGACATGTGGGTTCTAAACCACCCTCAGTCCTCAGTGAAAGAAATTCAGTAGCCTTGTATGGTACTCTACTCACTAAAACTGGTCCCAAGAGTTCAAGGATAACTCAAGCAATGACTAAAGATGTAAGTGCTAACAAGTGGCAATGGTTGGCAATGGAGTATACTTTTAGGGCCATAGCCTCTGGCTGTGGCCTCCAGTATATCTGAGTCTGGTCATGTGCTTTACCTATGGAACATCAACAGTCGATTTTGCCCTTTCCTCCCAGCTTCCTCCTTCTTCCTGTTTAGAATATGGATGTAATTACTAAAGCCCCATTGCCCACCTTGACTCTAGTGGCAACCACAAAAGTGAAAGCCACAAAAGCGAAAGCCACAAAAGCGAACAGTTAAGTTAAATATTAGAAGGAACTTGGATATTAGAAAGCCAAATATTAGAAAGAGCACAGACCACTATACCAGCCCTAAATCTGTTAAACTTCAGACATTTCACATATATGAGAAAAACTAACCTTATGTGTTTAAGTCAGAATTATTGTTGGGTCTCTATTACTAGCAGATGGGTACAATTTCTAACTGATAGGGGTCTTCATCTGACCATAAGATGTCATAGAGGTTCTGCTGAATATAGTGTGTGGAATTGGGGAAAGTTCTTAGAGGAGTTGATACAGCAGCTTTTTCTGAACTTTTGAGGTCAGTGTAGTTTGTCTGATTCCTTAATGCACAAACCTCTGGTTTTGTTGGAGTGCGCAAAGTGAAAAATTCCCCTTGCTGAAAGGATTGTCTCTTCTTTGCTAATGACAATAATTTCAGTTTAACAGGAAAAAAAAAAAAGACAAAATTGTAGTCAACTACAAATGTAAGACTTAAAGCAGGGGAGGGGGAGGAAAAGCCATCAAAACAGGGGTGGGCTGAACACAAAGGACCATGATGATGGTTTATAGGTCATGTAGTGGTGGGATATTTATGGGTCTACACCTGAGGGGAGAATCAAATACTGTAAAGATATGAACAACAAGGTAAAAAAAAATTTTTAATAATAAAGTAGAAAAAAAAATTCAGTTCAATGTTAGAATTCTTAAGTACTTAGAATGAAATCCCCTTTGATCAGCTTTTTGGCTTGAGCTCAGAGAGATTTTGAGTTCCAGGCAATCAATGTGTCAATTATTACCACTTTTAAATAAAACTGCTTTCCCATTACTAGGTAGTCCCTGCTATTATAAAACAGTTACCCTTTTAGAACACATACTCTGTGTCACTGTGCTAAGGGTGGATATGCATTATACCACTTAATACTGTCAGTTATCTGGAAGGTTCATGTTAAAATGCCTACCTACCATGGTTTTCCACCTACACCAGCAAAATAAACTTTTTAATATTTGAGATAATGCCCTAGACCAACTTTTTAAGGAATCTGCTTTATATAGATTACTTTTTTTTTTTTTGTAATAGACAAAATTAGAAAGCTTATTTTCTTAGGGGGCAACAGGTATCATTAAAATCAGAGGCCCTCTTTCTCCAACCTTACATTTACAGAGAATTTTAAACCTTCATTGACATTCCTGTGTTAGCTGTTAAGTCTCAGTCCTACCTGAATGGAGGTGTATGTTTTACCGTGGGTGTAGGTGAGTGATAGATTAACTTAAATACTAGAGAAATGGAGAAGAGACATAATTGGAAGGTGTATAGTCTCCCAATGAAGATGAGACTTTAAACACCCTTTGACAATTAACTGGATAATCATGACACAAATGTAGCCTATGTTACCACACCATACATGCATCTCTCTATCTCACTCTTTGAAAGTGCACAATGGGAAAGAGAAATGATTTCTCAAGGTCTATCTTCCAGAAGTCAGACATTGATTACTGCTACCTTATCTTAAAGATAGACTTTGGAGAATCTGCCCAGGAAATATCAAGGGTTTAAAAAATGAATTGCAAAAATTACTAGTTGAGAAAGCATTTAAAAGAAAAATGACCAACTTCATGGTTTAAATGGTACACTGGACATGTAACGCCTGAAAGTGACACTAAATAATGCTCTTTATGGCAGCCCAGAAGAGAGAGTGCAGCTACATTTGTTTGCATTCCTTTTTATAGCACACATTTTCCTTTTCATGCAATATATCTATGCTCCAATTGTATTATTTTGTTAGCATCAAACTGGGGAAGCTGTTATCAGTCAGGTGGAAGAAGATGACAAATATTTATTTATAGTTTTCTTTTATGCCACAGAGTTGGCTATAAAATAAGTTAAAATAAGTTAAAATAAGTTAAAATGAAAACCTTTGGACACCAAAGTTGTGTGCTCTACTGCTTCTACCATCACTAGCTTAGAATTTGCTTTTGCTTCTCTTTGGAAGGCCATGGTGCTAGGGACTAAGTTCAGAGGCAGAACTTGGGAAAGAGCTGCACCTACTTTCAACAAGAATCATTTAAAGATAGAAACCCAGTAGGTGGGATGAGATATGACCCTTTATTCAGATATACTTATGATAATAATAAACAAGAGATGCATGAAATTCTGTAATGAACTTACTAGGTAGGAAGAATCTTTAGATTCTAGGCTGGATAAACGGGCTTAGCTATAAGGACTTTATCTTTCAGCAGCACTGCCCTTCAAAGAACCTTGCACTTATTTTGCACAAAAAACATGGAGTATTCTGGAACACTTTTACTCACAGAACACAAGGTCAGACTTCCCTTAGACATTCCCAGTGGGTCGCTCTGCACTCGGTGAGGCTCCATCTGCTCTTTTAGGCCACTTGGGGTCTGTGCATGAATGCACTAAAAGATGGGGGTGGTCAGTGTCCTAGAGACTAAACAATGGATTTCTTGTACTGATGTGCTGCTTTTCTTTTGCAAGGTTCTGTATCTTGAAGACAGAATTAGCCATCAGTGACTGACACTCTAGGGGCCAAGAATGCCCAAGTCTACCTACTGTAAACTTTTATGTTCTTTCCTGTCAGAAGTTTTTTCCTTCCCACTGAATGTATCTGGACAATCAAAAGGAGAAAAGCCTTACCTGTAGTATTCATCTCCCACAAAGAAAAGAGTCTTCTCTGCATCCTTGAGATAAACGGCAGCATCTATTCGCTGCACATATCTGGGGAAACCGAAGTCATAAATAGTCCGGGGAGGGCCTTGCATTTGGAATCCTCTTGTTGTCCAGTAGTGGGGGCCTGAAAACAGAAATCAAAGTTCACAAAAACTTGTAGGTATGCATGTTACTCATGAGGATCACAAATGGGCCTAGTTTATGAGATGTTTGTCATGGTGATAAGCCAACAGGAGATATTCAAATCAGTAGAAGACTTAAAACTTGCCCTAGGGGGCCCTCCCTGGTGGCGCAGAGGGTTAAAGCACAGCACTGAGAAGCTAAAGCCACTTCCGCATGAGTTCAATTCCCGCCTGCCCCGGAGGTGACCACATGGTGTGGCAGACCTCTCCTGACCCACCCGCTGCTCCCCTCAGCAGTGTACTTCGTAGATCTGCCTGTTCTGCTCCCCACTCTGTCTCTGGTGAAGCTTCTCACCGCCCCTGAGCCTCTGGCCTGTACCCCAGTTCTGTATGTACAAATAACTAAATCTTAAAAAAAAAGTTTAAAAAAAAAAAAAAAAACTTGCCCTAGGGCCAAATGTATGTAACGAAGTATTAAAAAAGAAATAATATTGATACAAATGTGTTTTAAATTTAACATACTTTTTATTTTTTTTTCAAGATACCTCTCATTTACAATCTCATTTAAGTTTCATATCTATATGGGAGAAGAACAAATGACATGAAAACACTGTGATGCTTATTTGGCTCACCACTGTCACATTTTCAAGGATGATAGTACTATGATTATTTTGCAAATATACTGAGCAATGATACTGCTCTCACACACTGGGTTTAACATTGGCTTTGTGTATTAGAAATTGACAGTAGATTTCTATATCAGTAGAAATGCCATAGGGCCTTGAGTCCTAGAGTAGGGGCCAACACTTCCTATTCCTGTTTCTGTCACATAGCATGGTGACTCATTATGCTAAATAAAGACTTGCTCAGAGTATAGAATAAAAGTCATTGTCATTCCTGCTTCTCACAGGAATAACATTTCCTATCCAACCTGAGGATGGTGAATAACATTTCCTACCCAATCTGAGTAGTGACAGAAACACACTCCCTGATCACAAAAGAAATGCTGATGAGCTGGATGTTCCTATTATTTGGGTACTGAACCTGCTGTTTTGCCTTTGAAGGATCTTAGGGTACCTTTGAAGAAGTAAGCAGTGCCCCGCTCAGCCACTTCATAAGCTGCATCCACGTTGGACATAAGCTGGGGGAAGGAGCTGGTGATGGTGCTGGGCCGGATACCTGCTGGTACATGAACCTGCCGACGCCAGAAAATCCTATTGGGCATTCCAAGAGAAATCAAATTCAACAGCTGATCTGATCTTAAACCGATTATGGATTGAAAGGTACCACAAACAGCTCTTCAGAGACCACTCCTAAATGCCTCTTGCTTGCTCTTGACTTTTTTTAAGAACACATTTTTTTTTTAAATTTTTGTAAAAGATTTCTTTTCCTGTTTGTTCTCCGAGTATTTCTGCAATCCTGCTTCCTAAAGTTATTTATGGATGCTCAAAACATGGAAAGACATAGCAAGGAAGCAGCAAGACCTGACACATTTAAGCTGTGTGTCTCCTATTCCAAAATCATTTTATACAAATTTTCCTTTCCTCTTCCAATCTTTAAAAAATTAAAGTTTCAGGCCCTCTCTGGTGGCACAGTGAGTTAAAGCACAGCACCAAGAAGCTAAAGCCACTTTAGCATGAGTTTGATCCTCATCCCAGAGGTGATCCACATGGCACGGCAGACTTCTGACCTGCCCACTGCTCCCCTCAACAATGAACTTTGTCAGTCAGCCTGCTCTGCTCCCCACTCTGTCTCTGGTGAATCCTCTCACCACCCCTGCACCTCTGGCCTGTACCCTGGTTCCGCATTCATAAATAAATCAATCTTTTTTAAAAAAATTAAAGTTTCAGGGGCCTCTCCGGTGCTGTAGGAGCTAAGTCTCAGCACTATCACTATGAGGGCCTGAGTTTGATTCCCCACCAGACAGCATAACTACATACGGCACAGCAGACCTCTCCTGTCTCACCTGCTGCCCACCTCAGCAAAATATTTCAGTAGATCTTTCTGTGTTGTTCTCCATTCTGTCTCCGGCGAATCCTCTCACCCTCCCTGCACCTCTGGCCTACACCCCAGTTCTTCAATGCATAAACAAACAAATCCTTAAAAATTAAAATTTCAGAAAGATAAATATTATCCAGATGAACATTATGATATTACATAAACACACCAAAATATTTTGGTTGGGAGATGAACATTATGAATATTACATAAACACACCAAAATTTTTTGGTTGGGAGATGCTAATTGCTTTCAGTAAAAATAATAGAAATATTAACAATGACTAGTTATCATGTTACCTATGTTTCTTTCTTGAAAGTGTCTGTATCCTCCCAGGCACAAGGAAAGCTGGGATTTATTTTCTTTCATTTCTTATTCAACAATAAACAAGTTAAGTCTAGGTAAAATTAAATCCTTGCTTTTATTTCAAGTGACAGTATACTGATGTCCTGAATGACTCAATGCAAGGGGTCATAAAGTGATTAAGAGTGCAGAAAAATAAAAAATATATACTTTTGGAGCATTTTTTGGATATAGAATCTTAAATTCCTCATGAAATGTATTCATGAAACAAATCTCCATTTAGGACTTTGTGGGGACTGTGAGGTGTAACTTGAGGTAGTCATTCTGAACCAAGAGTGACTCTCTGTCTGGGGGCAGGTGACAGTGTCTAGTGGTCAGAACTTGGACTTCAATAGGTAGAAGCCAGAGACACTGCAAAGTAGTGAACAGCCCCTTCATCTGCTCAAAATATCAGCAGTGAAAAACATTAGAAACCATGTTTTAGACACTATGGTGACATAATGTATATGGTGACTATATGAGTAAAATAGGAATCAACACTACCCATCACTTGTGTAAAGAGTCCATATTCATGAAAATTACTAGTACACTAGTGAAGAAAAATTAGGTCTGGCAGGTAATAAAGCATGCTCAGAGAATTTATAGCTTAAATTAGACATTATAGTAATACGTTAAAGTTAATAAAATATAGTGAGTAACCTCCTAATACATGCATACATAGATTTAAAATGTATGCCAAAGCAAACACACAAAAATACAGTATGAATCTGCTGGGAAAGAGCAGCTGCAGGATGTACCAGAACTAGTAATAAAAAGAGTTTACCAATTGCCCATAAGCTGATCTTTGATAAGAAGAGCAAACAATGGAGTTTATTGATATTACCAATCTGCTGATAAGATATTTAGCTTGTGTACCCAAGTCTGCCACAGAATCAGTGCTCAATAAATATTTGTTGGCTGAAGGAATGGGTACTAGAGGGTTGAGTGGAACTTATCTGATCATTGATTTTTCATAATCTCTGAAATCTTAATTCTCGTTTACTAAAGAATAACAACTAAGTCATCAAGTTTAGAGAGTGAATGTAACCTTCACCTGATCTCTCTGCCACCTCTATAAACTCCTTGGGATGAATCATATATTGGTCATCTTTGAATCCATTGGTATAGTCTAAGGCCTGGCACATCTCAGAGCCAAGATGTGGAACCAAGTTGTGTAAACTTGTTTTGTTGTTGTTATATCCATAAATTTTTACCTCCTACCTAAGCTGAGCTCAAAGCCTTTCATTTTCAAGAGATGCCTTTATCTCCAGTTGCTAGGTTATCAAAACTCCTGTCCAATGGAAGTCCTCATTTCCTATCAACTTCAACCCTTTTCCCTCCCTGACTCTTGTCACTGCCCTGTTTCTACTTTTAGGACGAAAAGGTGTCTTTCTAGTTTTTTGAAGCTCTCAATTAAACTGCTACTCCTCCTTGAAGCCTTATTTTATCACTGGATGTGTGACCTGCATGTGTGTCACTCATTTCTCTGTCACTTAATTTCCTTCTTCCAAATAAGAACAAGGAGAATACCTGTGTCAGTACTTCAAAGGATTAATTGAGATGAAGTACATGAAAGCATTTTATAAACTCTAGAAAGTTCTAATAGTTATCTATAGAAACTAAAAAATGAGTAGTTTTTACTCTATACTTTTAAAAATATAAACTTAAACTTGGAATAAATAACTCAAGCTAAGTTTCTTTCTAAATTTATATCACTGATATACAATTTTTCTGTCACTGTGAACTTCGAATTACAAATGATCACATCAGTGACTGATATGACCATTCATTTGGAGGTTGCGGAGGGGGGGGCGCGGTGTTCAGTTACCACAGCTGCTTATATCCAAATATTTTAAAGGCTAAGAATTCCAACATTCATCATCCATTTCACTGATCACAAGTGAAATACAGTCTATACAATTAAAAATTCACCTGTGGATAGTGGTGTGAATTAAACACAATTAAAGCCATTTCCAGGTTCCCTAGATCAAGTGTTATATCCATCTGAAAAGCCTCTGAAGATCCACACTGGTAAACCAGAACCTGTGAGGACATAAAGGGTTCATCTATAGCCAGGAGGAGGGGCCTTGGAGAAATGAAAATGAATCCAGGTTCTTAGGACCCCTTCTGCCTCTTTGTTTGGATTCTTAACACATAACAGTGAACCAATCTAAATACAAGGACATTTGTTGCCTATCAATGGGACAAACTGATAGCTACAAAAGACACCTCCATGGAGAAGCACACAACAGTCCATGTGAGGGAGCAACACTGTCAGATGCTATGTTGCCTCAAAAGTGCTGGAGGCATGTGTTCAGGGGTATAGAAGAAGATGTCCACCATGGTGCCTCATGTGGTTGATTCTTGGTCAGTATCAATGCTTCTGACAGAGACAAGCACATGGTGAGGTCAAAGACATGATGCCTTTTCATTCAACTATACCTCTTTTCTAAATAAAGCATATACCTCCTTTTCCCCCAAGCCCTGAGCAACTGTCAATGACTATTTTTTGATACACCTTTTGTGAAAGTTTTGGCTGTAAATACTGTGAGTGGTAACAGACTATAAAGGTAGGCATATGTGAGACAGACATTTAGAAATGAGTCGTGGCAGGGCTAGACAAGGAGTCTGGTGACTACCCTGTATCTGCTGAGTCATCCCCTTCTCATTTAGTTCAAATTTCAGCCTGATGAGCAGTGGTGATAAGCAGATCATTTCAAAGACTGAGAAGAGCTAGGAGGACTGGACTGGGAGTCAGAATTGATTGCCTTGTATGCCACGGTATGTGGGACCTTGAATCTCTTTTCCTCTTTAAAAAGAGGTATTTGTGTGTTATGATAACTATGGTATATTCAGTGTGTGCAGTAATTCTATGTAAGTGCTTTGCTGTTAAATCCTTTCAGCCACCCAGTGAGGTATGAATCATTAGTCTCTTTTATGTAGACATAGAACAGATAAACAGACTGTTCAGGAACAGCAAGTGAGTGAGCTGGGATCCAATCTCACACTGGTGCATGACAGAGGCCACCTCTTAGCTGCCTGCTCCTGCCTGGTGCCAGCCAGAGCTAGAATCCCACGACTGCGGCTTCTCCTCCCCCGCCGGCTGTCACCATAAGTCCCAGAGTGTTTGCTAAACCTGGACAAAAACCAAAGAATTTTTTCAAGTCACAACATACTGGCAATTTGAGGGTCATTATGAAAGAGTTCTTTGTTCTCTACTACCCTCCAGGCTGGAATTCCCATCAACAACAATAATCTGTTGATGAGATATTTTCAAGATGTGGATGTAATAACCGCATGGTTTGTTCCCAAGCAAAATGGAATGCAGTACCTTTTAAAGTCACCGTGAAATTGCTGAATATGTTTGTAGAATGCAAAGTAAAGACATGTTCATATGTTCTGTCTGAAGATAAGGAAACTCTAAGTAGAAAGATAACAAAATATCAGTGATCCCAGGTTTCCACAGGTACTTAGGGAAGAGAAGAGAGAAATGACAAGAATTGCATTTAGGCCAAAATTAACTTTGTAACTCTCAGATCATTCTAGACTTTATATAATATAATCTTAAGGTTACAATCAAGAATGTCACAATCGGCTACAGACCTTACAATAAGAGCTTTTACTAAATAGGATAAGCATAGGTTTATCATATCCAAATCTCTCATTTTAGAGCTAAGGTCTTCCAGCCACAGGCCGTCCACTGAAATGTGATTTTCTGTCTCTGAGTTTAGGGTCTGTATTATCAGTCATGTAGAAAACCTCTGGTTACACAGTGAAACTGTGCGAGAAGTGCAGCATTCTGACTGGAGTGATCTCTGCCCTTGGTGTGCCTCTTGGTTACTAGGAAAGGTACTTGGGGAAGTGCGTGTACCCCAGGCACTTGGCCTGCAGGATGGGTAGCCACCACAAGGAGGGGGGTGTACTTTGCCTGTCGAGGTTTCACAGACATTTGATAGGCTTGTCCACCCTTGAGAGTAGAACAGTCAGTTCTATTTTAATAGTCAGTTATTTTAAAATAACTGATATCACTGTTAATTTTGAAAGATGCTATATATCTTCGATTGGAATGTAAAAGAAAACATTTGTCAAAGTTTCTATGCAAGTAGGGATTGAAGAGAAGGTGCCTGCCAGAGGCACTGGAAGGATTCACATCAGAAATTGGACACCAACTGGGTGAACAGTGACAAGAAAGAGTCAAAGGTAGCAGCTTCATTCACAAAGATACAGAAGTAAGATTTGTTGAACACATAAAGAAAAACTCAGTGTTAGGTGTGTCAAATAGAAGGTAATGAACTGACAAGGCGTGGGGGGAATTCATCAAAAGTGTCTAATGCTGGCAGTAGCTCTCCTGCCCACGTGTGCCTGTGCTGGGGTTTCCCTTCACCACCCTTCTCCCTGTGCAAAGCAGCAGATGCAGCTCCTCCCAACTACCAATCTGTGCCTGTGCGGGCCTCTCTTTTAACAAACCTATCCCTTTCAGGGGCAGCTCTTTCTGCCCATTGTGTCTGTGCAAGTATTCTTTATTTCCCTTCTCTTTTTATAATAAACCTGCCCTTTTGAATATAAAAAAATGGCTAATGCTCAATGGGGAGGTCTCAGTTATACAATAATGTTAACAATTATGGTAGCTGATAATCCATGATCATTTACAGTGTTTACAGACTTTTCTCATTTAGTCCACACTGTTAATTCCCCAGCTGCTATGTTAGTCTAGTCTACTTGATATCAGAGACAGAACCCCTTTAGTGGAGGCTCCAATTAAATCAAGGAGAAGAAGCTTTTTAGAAAAGTGAACAGCAATGGAAAATACTGCTGAGGTCATCAGACTGAAGATTGAAGAAAAGGAACTGACTGGATAGGATTTATTAAAGAAGGTGAGTTCAGGCAAGTTGTAAGGGAGATGGCAGATCATTACATGACAAAGCAAGTGATGGGGAGGAGGTGGAGGCAAGTGATCTAGATCTTTCAGTAGAGAATCTTCATGACAAAGGAAGAAGAGTTAAGTGGATATCTAGAAGAGGGAGCAGAGACAAATACCTGGGCATGCTGAAGACATGAAAGGAGCCATTGGAATAAAAGAAATACAATGTGCTGAGTGAGGGAGGGACAAAATCAGTAATGAGATAATATGTTTGGAATTTAGCACATCCCAGGGTTTCTTTCACAGGTTTGAGGAAATCATTGAATGAGACAAAGTCATAGCTTTGAATCCACTCTCTTTTGCTACTATCAGAACCACTAGTATTTATCAAAATAATAAACAACATGGGCCCTCACTGGTGGTGCAGGCACAGCACTGTGAAGCTATCTGCAGCCAAGGTAGCACAAGTTTGATTCCCCACCAGGAAGGTGACCCACATAGTGTGTCAAACCTCTCCAAACTTCCTGCTTTCCCCCTCAACAGTGTATTTCAGTAGGTCTGTTTGTTCTGCACCCAGCTCTGTCTCTGGTGAATCATCTCACCCCTCTTACCTCTGGTCTGTGCTCCAATTCTTGTATGCATGAATAAATAAATATTAAAAAAAAAAGATTAAACAACATGTTATACCATGCCTAGCATCTCTTTATCACTGAACAAGTGTTACCTGCACTTGTCTGGGCAATGCAGAATCTGACAACTGGTGGAGCTGTTGACTCTTAGTACTTTCCAGGCTCTTCCTGCTCTGTGTTTGCCTACCACACCTGGGTTGTTGTCTAGCAATTCCATTCAGTTGACTTTTTATTAATAATCTATACAAATAAAGTCAATAATCAATGTCTTAATAAAAATTAATTAGAAACAATAGAAAAGGTTGTTTCTAAACCTTAAATCAATATGTGTGTGTATGTGTGTATATATAGATATATAAATATATATATATAAATTTTTTTTTATTCCCACTTCTGAATATAGTAACTACCACTTAATGAACACTGTGTCTGTTCCAGGCTCACCTGATCAAGAATTTAAACCAATTTTAACTTGGTTGCTAAAGCCTCAGTTCCTGGGATCTGCTGTAGTTTGCCTTTGAATAGTCAATGTCCTACTATGTTTGAAGATTTCATACTAGTTGTTCATAACTTGTTAAAGTTCACCAGTATGGGATGGGTTAAAAGTAAGATGGAGCTATTAAATGGAACAAGAGACACAAATGTAAAATACAGCCATTTAATGACTTCAGGCACTAGTGGAAGTTACTCTCTTTGAGCTATTTTCTTTACCTGTAAATTGGAGGTTATACTCACTACCTCATAGTGCAAATAGGGGTGAGAAATACAGTCATTGTATACCTGGGAAACAGCTCAGCACCGAGAGCACTGTGGGCACCCCCAAAGTGGGCCTACATCTGTCCTTAGAAGTCCACGATAGCCACTCAGGACAGAATTTCTATACAATTTTCATAAGGACTCCTAGACAACATTTGCCTGAATGTGGCACTAAGGCCTGAGAAGAGTTGTGGACTGTCTTACCTGTCCCGGAAGAACAAAAGCTCCTTCCCCAGCATTGTCACTGCATCAAAGGATGAGCTGGAGTCACAGAGGTCAGGGGTGGATGGATTATGAGGCGGGGCATTGGGCACTGTGGGTTTTCCAGGATATGTTTTCCGAGGTCCTAGGATTCAAAGTGATGGGGTCAGATGGTACCAGGAATCAAGAGTCCTACACCTCTGCTTTAGAGACCTACTGTCATCACATAAGTGGACATGATAAAGAGTATGGCTACTGGCTGCAGGCAGGGCTGGGTTTACCTTTCACAGGTGGGAATGAGCTGTGCGACATGGGCACATTTTCACCTCCCAAAGCCTCAGTTGCCTTGTTACTATCATGGGAGTTACAATAATGGTACCTATCTCAAAAGGCTTTTATGAGAACTACCCCATATCTGAAAAGCACTTCATACAGAGCTTGCTGTAATAGTAAATGTTCAGAAAAAGGTAGTTATTATTTTATGATTGTATATGACTTCTCTAATAAAATTAGAAATGAAATTTAAAATTCATGGGTTAAAACACATGCATTTTGCTGGAAGGAGCTGGAAGGGATGATGCTCATTGAAATAAGCCAGAAAGAAAAGGAAAAATACCAGATGGTTTCACTCATAGCAGGAATATAAAGGACCAGGGGAGAAAATGATAATAATAATAATGAACACCATATACCAGAGATATCTTACGGGTGTAGAGTGAGGAATGGGATCAAAAATGGGGCTGAGGGGAAGTGCACTGGACTTTGGTGATGGCACACTGGTTAATTGGTGGTGGGAAGCCCATGGGGATTAAACGATGATGGAAAAAGTCACAAAATGATGTAAAAATATATATAAAGAAAATTCATGGGCTAAGTGTAACATGGGACAATATTATTATGCACATCTCAAAGTAGCTGAAGGAGTAAACCTTTAAAGTTCTCATAACAAGAAAAAAATTGTAACTGTATGGTGATGGATAGTAACTAGACCTATCAGGATAATTTCATAATATAAACAAATAATGAAACATGTTATACACTTGAATGTTATATATGCCAATTATCCCACAATAAAAATTAAAACAAATTTTTACCTCAATTAAAAAAATTAAGTTGCTACATATTGTAATTAAGTTCTTTGTTCTTAAAAGAACTAGAATGTTGTTTGTGTGTTTTTATCCACTACTGGGCATCTTGTATGCTGCATAAACCATTTCCTACTTTAAGGCATCTTCTGGAGGGTCCTCACATAAAACAAACACAGCTCCTTGGGTGAGCTGTCACTGAGTTTTTCTGTCCATTCTGATCCTGGGGACTCTCCACTAGTTATAGAGAATAAACCAGGCTGTCTGGTCAGGCTGAGTCAGCCCCAGCAAGTGCTGGCTCTTCACCAAGACTGTTGAAGCCAAGAGCCCCTGAAGGAGAGTGAGATGAGGGCTGGGGTAGGGTCCGCAGAGGGGTGAAGATGAGAGGTGGGTACGGCTTCTAGACAAGATCAGAAACTGGACGTTGCTCAGAGTAGAAAGGTGCTCCCATATTTGAACATTGATATATGCCAAGCACTACATCTTGGGGTGGCAAGAGTGTTAGGGTGGGTGCTATATATGCTCGCTGGTTAGAAAAATCCATGTTTTTACATTTTGTTCACTTGTGCAGAAATGGCCACGTGCAGTACACTCTTCCATGCCTGGCCCAGCAACCCTGGCTCTCTGTGTGTTGACCACACACACAAGAATCTATACAGATCAGGCAGATCTTTGGGTTCAGTCTTTCTTGGTGGTTTTGCATGGGAGATCCAGCAAGTAGAGACATTCCTAATATTCCTAATATTTTTCTGTCATCGTAGTAGGAGCAGAACTTGCATCTGTCTCTTCTCTGAAGTGGATGGAGTGGGCTGAATATTTCTTTGAATACAATTTATATTCTGTATCTCAGGAGAATTTTGACTGTTGTGGGCTGGCCAATGTGAGGAAAGCATAGACGCTCGGCTTACAAGGCCCTTTTCAGTAATCCTTGTAATCCTTGATGCCTGGAAAGAATGCTAACACTGAGATAATTAGAACATCTTAGCATGTTTACTGTCTTTGAGCCTGAGCTTTCTCAGTTATCACATGATAAAATACACTTCCCACACTTCAGGTTGGCCATGAGGATGTATTCTCAGGAACATGTTTTGTAAACTGCAGTCTGTCTGTAGGATTGAGAGGTGTTGTAATATTATCACCACTACTGCAAAGGGTAAGCACCAGACATAGGAACTACAAAATATGTTTATCCTCTCCCAGTATCTAACTCCTGACTGTACCCTAAATTACAGACAAGAAACTATTTTTTATTATTAAGGATCAAAATGCTCTGGGGGAAGACATAACATTTAGTTGTACATTTTTGAAAAGGAAGCAATATACATATCTGGTAAATAAGCTCTTCATCAGAAGACATAGTTGGGGCTAGTTTTTACTGATGTTAGTAATACCTGGCAAAGTAAACTTTAAGTATATGAAGTGAATGTCACTTTCAGGGTTAGTGGTCAAAGAAGCAATTGTACCATATAATGCCTGGATCCCTTTCACATCGTCTTTGGGGAGGTGGAATCCAAAGGGATGCTGATACTTATAAGTTGGATACATCAATGCAGATGGGTCTGTGGAATGGGCCAGGCCCAATGCATGACCAAATTCATGAGCTGCAACAGTGAATAAATTGAAACCTAAACAATATAAAAGAAAAAGACAGCATCAACCCAGGATTTTATTTTCAGTATCTTCTGTCTTTACAGGAGAATTTATGCTCAAGTCATATTTAACTCATTTTCTTCTCATGATTGGATTATTCAAAGTTTGAGAAGTTATTCTGGCACTGAACTTTGCTGACTTTAGTCTAGTTCTTTCCCCTTTAGCTAGAAAGGATTTGGGAGGTGGGGAAAGATGAAAGTTTGCGTCAACCCATTTTGTTCATAGTGATGGTAGGGAGATAGGCAAAAAGGACTTATGCCAACAGTGCAAAAATACAGAGGTTTATGCTCTGTATTCCCTTTTATTACACCTAACTTCTTTTGTCTACACACATTTTTCACACTGAGTATTTTCAAATGGACTGCATAGTTACAGGAAAATATATATCCATCTCTGATACACTTCTCAGGAGAGAACTGAAGCTCTCGGGCAATTTCTAAATGTAGCCCATTTCTAAGAACAGGTAAGAAATAATACTATGACATTGCAGAAAAGGAGCTACACATTGAGGAGAGAATTTCTCTTTCTTGAGATCATATACTATGAACCAGAGACAGGAAAATCTACAGCACCATTGAGGGTGGACCTTTTCCCTTTTGGATTTTTGGCTTACTTGTTTTTCCTAGCCAGCCCCCCTAGTTAAAGGGTGGCTTGGAACGGTGAACCTCAAGGTTCCATGATGGAGGACCAGAAGAAGGTACAATATGTTCCAGGTTATGGTGAATTGTGCATATATACCATTCATTCCCATAGTCCACTTCTCAGCATTGTCAAAGTGTGTATCTCCTCCCAGGCCTTCTCCAGGTGCAAATGCATGGGCTAGAGTCCCTCGAGGCCCATCAAATGGATATGAATCCCCGTGATCTAAGTAAATGAGGAGAAATACCAGCAAGAATTTAGCTTTTCTAAGGAGTTTTGACATAACATCACAGGGAATGGACTTTTGGAAATAGCACTGACACTTCTCATACAAATAGATTTCCTTTACAATGTTCATTTTTTTAATGATAATAATGTCACATGCCCACAAATAATCTGTCTATTGCAATATTAAAAGGTCGACTTTGTATTTTGAAGATAGTGTTAAAAATTTAAAAACTGTTAGTTATTGTGGAGTGTGTTAACTGACTGTGCCATAGATTACAGAAGGAGAAAGATCAGATGGTTAGTTCATAAGATCTTGTCCACTGATTCGAATGTAATCCTGTTAGCAGCGTGTAGTTTTCAACATACAACTCAGTTAGGACACTAATAGCATATTGAAGGAATCTGTGCTTTCTGTTTCTGTAGCATGTAATACAATTTAAGGAAGTATCAAAAAAAAGAAAAAGAAAATTTGCCTGTAATCTTGACATACTTTCATGTGTAAAACTTATAAAGCAAGTAAGGTATTTATAGAGTTCTGTTTTTAAAGCTACATGTGTTTGTTTTATTATTTATATTAGTTAATAGTTCACTATAAATTTAATAGAAAAGGAGGAAGGCCAAATGAGGGGTGATGTAGAAGCTAAATATCATACCTTTTTAGGATTTTAGTGAGGATGACTTGTTTTATTAAAAACCAACAAGACAAAGTTTGGTAGTCATTTTATAGGTTTTGGAGCAGGGCACTTTAAACAGGGTGTATAACTTGAGGATCTTGTGAGCAGGACACAGTTCCTATTGTGTTTGACAGAGGGCATAAGCTTGAAAAATCAAGAATAAGATGCCCCAAAGCTTCTGTGAGCTATGCTCTTGCCACTTCACTGGAGATGGGGAGGATGGCTTTGGTCCCATGGGAAGAGCCGGACCCATGGCTAGGTCTCACCCAGGGCCATCTCTCAGGGCTTAGAACCAGAACTTGCTTCATTTTCTTTCTCCTGACTCCTGAGCAGTTTCCCTGGTGATGTAAGAATAAACTCAAGATCAAGCCTTGGAAAAACAGGAGCACTTTGAATAGGCAGTGGCAATCACCTACTCTGATTTCCCGGAAGCCAATAAGGGAAAGGAATTTCATGGGCTTTCCTGTATCATGTTTCTTGCAGGGCTCAGAGCAGCCCCATGCAAATAATGCCTCTTCTCCTCACCAAAGTGAGCAGGCCCATGGCCAAGATGGAGAAGGCAGGCCTAGGAGTCCCCAAGAGGTAGTCTACTAGGTGTGGGCAAGAGTCTCTTGGCTCCTAACTGACCATTGCTGTCCAATGTGGGGGAAGCTGTCAGTGCCAGTATAGAATTTATCCTTTGGTAAGAACCCAAGGAGCAAAGGGCAACACAGGGAGACATAAAGATTAACACCATCATGGGAACAGTATAAGGTCAGTGGTTTCCTAGACAGTGCGAATGCTAAATCTGATTGAATTTGTCCTGAACAAGGCAAAAACAAACTGACTATAATGAGTCCATTTTACAGATGAGTTCAGGCAAGAATTTGAGCAGGTCCATTTCCTGCAGGAGGAAGCCTATGATTTTGCTGAGCCCTTGGTCTCTGCCAATCACACCTCTGTACAAAGGACAAATGTTCAGGTTGCTTGGATTAGTATCACTGGAAACGAAGTATAGGAACTTTTTCCAGAGTAGCAGACAAAACCCAAGAAGCACCACAGTACCTCCAGTTTCAAAGGATATCATTATATCCGCTTCTCCCGAGTTGACTCTGACAAAGTTCAGTGGGACAGCACTGCTCCAGGCCTGCAGGGCCATTTCCACTGCTTTGTCCACCTCAGCAGAGGTCATAGAAGATGTGTATTTGGATATTCTGTGAAAATAGAAGGAACACATTTTCCTTCCAGTCAATACTCCTATGTGAAGAAGGCAAGAACTATGTTAAAGTTGTACTAAAAATCTAAAGATAGAGCATAAATCTATAATTAAAGTTTTTCCCCCTGAACAGCTAGAATTCTCTCCTCCTTTTTTTTTTATTGAGGTAACAATGGTTTACAATACCTAATATGACTTAAAAGTATAGATTACACCCTTAACCTACTACATCAACGGCCAATGCACCCAGCCCTCTATCATGGTCCACTGTGACTCTTCTTGACTTTATTTCCTCCCTCCTCCCCATGTCATAGCCTCAATTCCACAGTTAGATTTCTAGAGTTTGTTATTGGTTTGTTCTAGTCTGACCCTTTGTTTTGTTTCTCTATATATCACATATAAATGATACTACCCAGTATTTGTCTTTCTTCTGACTTACTTTGCTTAGCAACTGGTGGTTCTCACAAATTTTCATCTTTTAAAAAAAATTCTGGCTGTATAGTATTCCATATTTTTCTAATCCACTTCTTTGTCCCTGGACACTTACTTTGTTTCTGTAACTTGACCATTGTAAATAGGGTTGCAATGAACATAGGAGCACATACTTCCTTCTGAAATAGCGTTTTTTGCATTCTTTAAGTGGATACCTAGGACTGGAATTGCTGGTTTTAGAAGGTAGATCTATTTTTCAAAAAGATTTATTTATTTATGTATACAGAACTGGGGTGCAGGTCAGAGGTGCGGGGGTGGGGTGGGATTAAGGAGTTGAGAGGATTCACCAGAGACAGAATGGGGACCAGAACAGGCAGACTGACTGAAGTACACTGCTGAGGGGAGCAGCGGGCAGGTCAGGAGAGGTCACCGCCTAGCTGGGGATTGAACTTGCTGCAAGAGCTGCAACAGCTTCATAGTGTGTGCTATAACCCTTTGCACTACCAAGAAGGGCCCATGTGGCAAAACAATAATTCTTATTTTGCTTTCATATTTGTTAAATCACTGAAACATACTTAACAACAAGAAAAATGAAGAGATGAAAAAGTTGAGAAAATCTGGTGCTGAAAAAAACTAGACTTTCCTTGTTATTATATTATCGATAATTTTAAAGAATAATGTCCTCTATAAAGTTTTAAGTAGCAAGAAATCAATTTTTTCTAAAATGGTTTTAATGAGGAGACACTTCTTTTACATTAAAAAGACACTGACAATTTTTAATTGTAAATATAAAAAATGTGGAGTTTTGAGGTTTTGCAAATTCTTATGCAAAGGCCATCAGAATTTCCCCAGGGCTATGGGGGAATTTTTTTCTGAAAATAATGTATTTTTTCAAGAGGAAGTGCTAGCTTTAAACAAGGTATTGACTTGAACTGAAATGGCTTGAATCTTGCATTGAGATCTAGTGTAGCAAAGACCTCTAAAGGCAGATAGGTATATAACTTTTGGACAAACAGCAAGTGGAGATATGTGGTGGTTCTGCAGGACATGTGCTCTGGGATCTAGGGGATGGGGGCTTCTGGCTGCCTCTAAAGGAAGGGTAGGAGAGGAACTTTTCCTTGGGATGGTGGATCTGGATGGAATAATGGAACATAAGTGAGCAGTCAGGTCTATGAGAGACAGCCCTGAGAGGAGGGATTGAGTTATTTACTTACTTACTTACTCTACTTCCTTACACAAAGTGCATATGAAATACTTGCTAAATGGATGATTCAGTTAATAAAAGCTAGAATTTTTAGGGCTCACTCAGTGGTTCTCAAATTTTAGGGCCTGTATAACTCCCTACCTGCATTTTCACAAGCATCTTAGGCCATTCCCATTCAGGTGTTATATCCTCAAGCAGAAACAAATGACAGTCCTGGTGCCCCAAAAGAAGATTCCACTTCCCTAAGGAGGGCAGTGATGGGCTAAACCTCAGCAGGGAGGCAGGAACAAGGCCATCCTTAACTCTAGGGGATGGGCCCCAAGATGAGGAGATTATAGAATTGAAGTGGGGGAAATAGAAAGGCCCTTAAAAATAACACTTATTAGAGCTTTCAAAATATGGTTAAGATGAATTTGTGATTGATCATGAGTCTGGTTAGTTAGTACCTGGAAATTCCCTCACATTCCTTAGTGTCAGCTATTTTTTTCAGTGTTGGGCGATGGAGAAAGGGACAGCACTATTTCTTTCAGAGTGGAGATGGAGAAAGGGACAGCACTAGGAAAGAAGAAAACATGCAGAAAAGTTCTGAGGTAGATAACGCAATAGAAATCATAGCTACTATTCTTTGAGTACACACCAAATTGTAGATACTGGTCCAAGCACTTTTTGATGTGATGTGCCGCTCAATACTCAAAACAACACTTAGGAAGTAATACTACATTTTAAGGATCTACAGTTTATCCTCAGGATTTGAGCCCATTTTTATGCATATAAGCAATATGCTATATTTTATCCTTTTTAATTCTTTGACTTATGTTCTAATAAGTTATTCTGAGATTCAGGAGCTATATAAGCTGAGTATTAAGACAAGCCTCTAGGGTCCTCCCTCATGGTGCAACAAGTTAAAACACAAAACTATGAAGCTATCCACAGCCACTGCAACATGAGTGCAATTCCCAGCCAAGGTGGTGACCCACATGGTATGGCAGACCTCTCCTGTCCTACCTGCTGTTCCCTCAGTAGTGTATTTCAGTCAATCTGTCTGTTCTGCTCTCTTCTCTGTTTTAGTGAATCCTCTTATCCTCCATACCTCTCGCCTGTACCATGGTTCTTATATGCATAAATAAATAAATCTTAAAAAAAAAAGAGTAAACCTCTAGAGGCTTGTGTGTATGTTTGAGGTGGGGGATACTAGGGCATTGTTCAGGAACAAGTATGGATGTGGGCAGTTTGAATGTGCTTGAGGAGGTCTGGGTTGCCCAAAGAATATTATCACAAGAATACTATCTTTTTCCAAGCCCCACATTAGTTTGATCTATTATCCCCATTGTCTTTGTTATCCTCATTGTCTTTGTTGTGCACAATCACATACTAACATTGTGATACTAACTTCATTCCTTGGTATTTATCCAAAGTATGCAAAAATACCAAGTTCATTGCAGCAATATTTACAATATCCAAGTTATGTAAACAACCTAAGTGCCCAAGGACAGATGAGTGGTTTAAGAAGAGGTAGTACACATACAACAATGGAATTTTACGCATCTACAAAAAAAGATGAACTCTTGTTATTTGTGACAACATAGAACTGGAGGGGAAAATGCTCAGTGAAATAAACCTGAGGAAGAAAGGCAATTACTCAGTGATTTCCCTTATATATGGGATACAGAGAAACTAAACCAAAATAAGGCCTAGACATCTGACTACAGAAGTGGGGAAAGGAAGGAGGGAAAAAGTTGGGGGGGGGACCCACTGATATATGGTTAAGGGTTATAGTTTCTCTGGAGGTAGATATGGTGTGGTGATGAAAATCTGAAGAGGTATGACATGAACTTATTCCTCTGAATCATTTACAGTACTGTGAATCAGTTACCTCAAAAAAAAAAAAAAAAAAGGAGGGAGGAGGCAATAGGCAATAAGGGAGGGAAGGTTGTGGCACTGGAAATTTGGTGGAGAATGAATGAGGCATGTGCATATATGGAGGTATGAAGTTGTATTGCAAAATAATAGTCACATACAAGAGTTCAATAAAATCTGATCAATAAAAATCAATAAAATTTGAGAGGAAGGAAAAAATATCACTGGGGGAGAAAAAGGGAGATGACAGAAAAGACTGCATGGATTATATAAATTTTTCCTGAATTTCTCTTAATTAGTTCATAACTTCGAAATTTCTTCCCCAAAAGCTTTGCTTTTTGTGGCATTAATCTGAGACTAATAACTGTGCTTACAGCACCACCTAATGGGCTCCATGGCCCACAGCAGCTAACTGTGGACTAGAGGAATTCCGGGATTGGTTCTCATTAGGTCACAGGGATTCACTGGTGTACCAGTGCTGTCAGAAATACACTCTGTGACTTAAATGCCTCATTTGTAGAGTTTGCCTATTTCCATATTGCTAATACTCTCATTGTGGCTAATTTCAAGCCACTAACTTGCCACCACTGAGCACGAAGTTGGGCAGATGAGTAGCAATTGTCATTTGCAGCATATGAAGAAAATATATGTAAAGGACCTTGTGAACATAAATCATGGTAAGTTGTAGTCTAATAACTAGGCAGCAAATTATTGATTACCTTTGCTTTTAAATATCTGATATAAATTAGACATACAAATAAAATTTATTAATTATAAATCTATATAATTATTGTGGCCATGTTCAGCAACAAGCATATAGAATTCCTGGACACTTAGTAACTGGCTGCAAAATTCCAGGAAAGGTGAAGTCTGAACTCCTTGGTCTTAAATTCTAGCTGCTGAGTCTGCTTCCCCAGCCTCTGCTTCCTGACATTCCTTTTCCTGACACACACATTCCATTTCTATTTGCCTACTCTTCTTTTCTACCTGTATTTCTCTTCATCAGTTCATAATTATTCATGTTTCTTCCCTAAACGCTTTGATTTTGGTGACATTCTTAGTCTGAGACTAATAATTGTTGTTTAAAGCACCACCTAATCGGCCCCCTAACATTTAGCTCTGAGGAAAAATGCAAATGGAGGCCATCCTTTTCCAATGCCATCTCTGTCTGGCCTTGCCAGACAAGGCCCCCAAGGACAGTTGCCATGGATGGCCTCCCTTCCAGGCACCAACTTGGAAAGGGTCCTGTGCTGGCCCCATCTATGGTTCTGGGTACATGGACAGTTGTCCCTACCTGAGAACCTAGAGTACAGTACAGCAAAGATGTAGGTGTTGGTTAGTTGTGTCCCATTAGACCACACAAAGCCCTGGTTTGGGCAGGAGAGGGTCAGAGGATAGTCAGGAGGGGTACAAGGTAGAAGGGGAAAGATGTAGAATAGGGGAGCCTGGGTTAAGGGTCAGTCAGCTCCTACTTTGTTTTCATATGAGCCTCAGTCATCACTCTCTGGCCCTGGCTGATTTGGTAGGTAGCTCCCTTTGCTCTCACAATTTTCTTTTTGCTTTACATTTTTCACAGGGAGCTGCAACTATCTGCTTGTATGTGAGTCATGCTCCAGAGGACAGTAGGTTCCCTAAGGTCAAGGAAGGTGATCTATTCATTGTTATTATTTTTTTAAAGATTTATTTATTTATGCATACAGAACTGGGGTACAGGTCAGAGGTGCAGGGGTGTTGAGAGGATTCACCAGAGACAGAGTGGGGAGCAGAATAGGCAGACTGCCGAAGTACACTGCTGATGGGAGCAGTGGGTGGGTCAGGAGAGGTCTGCCATGCCATGTGGATCACCTCCGGGGCAGGTGGGGATCAAACTCATGCGGAAGTGGCTTTAGCTTCTTAGTGTGCTTTAATCTGCTGCGCCACTAGGGAGGGCCTAACCCCTCTATTCATTATTATAGCTCCAAAAATGTCATTCTTATCATAGGCACTTAAATCAAATCAATGAAAACATTAATTTTATAGGTGAACCTGATCATATCCTTCTGATTGAGCAGTTTGTTTCTAAGAAAACTGGTTGGTACTATCAAGTTATCAGCCCTGGACTAGGGTTTTTTTTTTTTTTTTTTTTAAATAAATAAGTGTGTTATCTTTAACTAGTTGTTTGCAATATGGAACATTACAATGATCCCAAGATTATTATTATTTTTTTAAGCAAATTCCCCAATGTTGCCGACTAGATTGGACGTAAAAAGTTCTTATTTTTTCTCATGGTTGTGATGAATCATAATGTTCGTACAGATTAGATTTTGTTTTTTAAAACAGAGACAAGGTGTTTCTCTCTGGATTTGGAAAGACTCGATCTCATTACCTGTATGTCAAGGTATTTTTTTTCCATTTGGGTTCACCTGGGAAGAGCCGATAGTTTGCCACATCAGGAACTCCACAGCGAGGCTTCTTGATCATATCCATTGTGGACCTGTCTAACTTCCCTGTGATTTGGAGGCCAAAAAATGCTTGTAGCTCTTTAATCTTCTTTACCATTGAATTGCTTCCTCTTGCCACCATCTCACCAATCTGCTGTCCTCCTTTCTTAGTGTAATACTTGTCAAGATATGCCTGAAACGGAGATACAGGCTTACACATCTGAAGTCCAATCTCTGGGGAATACTTATGGTAAGGTATGATAATATGATAGGGACAATAATCTTGAGATGTTAAAAAGAGAGTCTGGTGCATAGTCCCAATGTGGGGGAAAAAATGAGAAGTACCTGCGTAGATAAAGCTTCAATACATATATGCCCAAATTATTGACAATGATTATCTTTAGGCAATGGAAATTTTAGCCTTTTTTTTTTTTAACTCACTGGTATTTTACCATTTTTCTACAATGAAGAGTTATTTTAAGAGGAGAAATAATGGGAGGAAAGTGATATGAACAATTATCCCCATAGACCTTTAATTTGTCATTGAACAAAATAACAAAATATTCTTTGCAAAATAGAGTTTTTTATAAGCAGTTATTGGTATCATTACACATTATGAAAATAAATGTATCTTAAACTCCAGAGTCTGATATTCCAGCCTCTCATCTTCTACAGAATAGAGGAAGCAGAGAAAACCCAACTAATTAAACCCAACTAATTAAACCCAACTAACTAACTAATTAAATATATTCAATATAAGAGGCTGAGCTTGTTTTCATGGGGCAGGTTTCCTTAAGACAAGTAAAATTAAACATAAACTGTCAGGTTAGTATTTGCACATAAAATTACCTATAAACTCTAAGGCTTAAAACCTCTAATAAAGCCTTCAAAGCACTTGCTATTACTGAGTGAGGCAAGGTAATACAAATGCAGGGCCAGTCTGCTGCCTGTCCAATAATTTCACTTGCCGAACTTATTTCAGAAAGATAAAGAGATGCTAAAGATATATACATATTTATATTTATATTTATATGTATAGCTGGTTCCCTCCGAAGTTTCCCTCAGGATAGCTGGCGCTCTCGCACACCCTCCACCGCACGCAGTTGTATCCGGTAAAGCGATATATATACATATATAGTGACTTTTATATGAGATTTTCTATTTCTATATTACTAATGAAGTATTTTAAATGTATATATATAAACAGCATATTGATTACATTACTATTCAATGGAAATTATGTATATTATTTATTTATATTAGCCTGCCCATATCTGCAGTTTGCTTTTTTGCAGTTTCAGTTACCCGTTGTCCACTGAAAATATGTACAATAGGATGTTTTGAAAGGGGAAAGCACATTCACATACCTTTTCTTATACTAATTGTTATAATTGTTCTTTTTTTAGTTATCATTTTACTATGCTTTATTTATCAATTAAATTTTATCATAGGCATGTGTGTATAGGAAAAATTAGTATGTACAGGTATATGTCTCTATTATATGTACAGATATATAGTACTAGCTGAGGCTTCAGGCACCTACGAGGGATAGGGAACAACACTGTATGTTATACATGCATATTTATATACATAAATAATAAAATATTGAAAGAATTTTAACATTTAACAGTGGAGATTTTTAGATATATTATTATATATTCATATGAAGTGATGGTAGGCTTCTGCTAAGACTGCATTTTTGAAAAATATTTTATAGCATGGAATAAAGCACTCAATATAATGTCAGTACACTGAGAAAAGAAGGGATAAAATGTTCATACTGATTATAATAATCATTTCATAAATAAACTAAACCATATATATGCATATTATAATCACATCCATATATACTATATAAATACTAATATAGTCAGTCTACTAATCTATTTATTGATAATTATATATATAATTAGTATATATATACTAATATAGTATATATAATATACATATATATATACTAATATAGTCAGTATACTAATCCACTTATTGATAATTATATAACAAACATGAGTAGTAACAAGTAAACAATGGAAGGATGCTGGGATATTAATCTTATTTACCTCTAGATTGTAAAATTATGGGTTATAAATTGTTACTGTTTCCTACATTCCAAAGCTTTCTATTATGAACATGAACTGTAATTGCTGTGTGTTTGGAGAAGGAATTTTGTTTTCTGACTGTGAGGGCAGTTAATCCTTGAGCCCTGCCTTGTCTAGAGAAGCTCACTACCTGGGGTTAGCCCTTGTGAAAAGCTCCATGAGGTGAGAACCTGAGAGAAGGGAAAGAGAAGACAGCATGGAGTGCCCAGACTCTGAAACAATAATGGTGGCTATGGATTCATGTCCCTTTCTGGTTAGGCTATCTTCACTGGGCACATAACATTTCTAATCCTTTTTGTGAGATGATGTTGCTTCTCTGAGCCTTTTCTGTTTGCTCTAGGTGCTGTGTAAAAGGTTGAGTCTGAATCATGCTATTCAGATTAACATTGTGCATTAAACCAGATGTCTGTATTTTCTGAAACGTTTTGATCTTAGATTTGAGAAGATGCTCATGATACATGAATAAAAATAGGTTTACAACAGTTGGTACAGGAGAACGCATGTTTGCAAGCAAAAGTATGTATGTGAGGTTACACAGTCATAGACTGAGGAAGGGGCATCAAAAATTCAGTAATGAAAAATACTACTCAGTGCATTAGTAAAAAATTAAAATGAATGCAACAAAAGTCCATGATGAACCAAGTAATAATAATTTAAATAAAGATGGGCTCACACCTCACCCTCTCCCCTAACCCTCCCTAAATCAGAGAGATGTCTTTGAAAGATAAAGGAACTAAGAAAGGATACATAGTGATGTAATTGATAATAATTCTTTTTTAGTTATACATGTTTGGTAATTTTTCTCCTGTGAACATATGAGGTTTTTTATAACAAAAGGTCATCTTTATAAACGTGCATAACATATTAGCCTTGCAGCTCACATGGGTTTAGGGTCCATCACGGTCGACTAGATAAAAAGGTACTTCTAATGAAGTAAAAATAACAGAAATGATTTCTCAGAAAAGAACACAAACTGGTTCTTCTCACAAACAGTCGCTCTTCCTCAGCCACTCGTCTTCCACCAGAAGAATACCCTACCTCAGGTTTCATCATCGCTCCAGGAAAGAAACCCGATGAGAAAACGCCTTTTACGACACACCGCAAAGCACAAACCTGGCGTATTGCGTGGGTTTTGCGACCGCGCTCGTGAGTGACGTGGCCATGCGCCTCAGCGACGTGCGAACACGAATGCTGCGGTGCCGAGGCCTTCCCCGCCGACAGGTAGGTGTGGGCTTTCTCCTTTTTCCTGCCTCCCAACACGGGAGAGAGTGGGAGTGGGTAGGAATGGGTCGTGGCTGCTGAGATGTTGGGGCCCCAGGGCTTAGGGATCCCGGTCACCACACCCGCGGATGGACCGGCGGATGGGCGTTGCCTCTTCGCCCTCTGCTGACGCCCTCCGCTTTTGGGAGAAAGCTTTGCGGCTGCTGTACACTCTCCCACAGCACGGAAAGCCTGTGTGTGGAGGGCCCTGTCCCAGGGAGCTGTCATCACCCACTTTACTGTTCCTCTCCCACAGGGTGGCTGCCTCTGTGGGACAGACACAGTGACTGTGTTTGCCTGACAGTTCTATGCTCTGAGTATATATCCTGTTAATAGCTGAGCTCCTTTCTTAAGCCAAAATATGAAAACGTGCCTCTGTGAAAGCTTCTGGGATGTTCCAAGGTATTGATGAGACAGATGATTCTGGAAACTTTCTTGCCAAAGAGACTGACAAGGTTTAGGAATGCTTTTCAGAGTCTGAATGATCAGTCGTTTTGATGTACACCTAGCATTACGTTTGGGTAATATGCCAATACTTGGAATATTCCTGCAGGCCTTGGCTCAAGACCTGATTGATGGTGGCACACCTGGTCCTAGATGTCAAGACTCACCTGAATTGCCCCATGTGCACCTCCCTCCCCCTTCTCCAAAGTTACAGGATTTTAAGGGCTACTGTCAAGTGAGTGCTTTCCTTGTAGTGTTTGGTAAATGACAGTGGCCAAGGGGTCCCTCCTGCCAAGACAGTCATCCAATCACCTCCCAATGCTTCCCTCAGGGCACTTTCCAACTGTCTTTTCTAAGAACGAGTAGCTAAAACTCAGATTCAAGTGTGTTTGTGCTGTTCAATATGTGGCTTCTTAACGTTTCTTTCTATTTCCAATAAGTCATAGAACTTCCCTTGTGAGCACTTTTGATGCTGTGTGATAAGTCTTAGGGCCTAGGTTTCACAAGTTTGGGCAATTCCTTTATTTATTTTTTTAATTTCAGTTTTATAAAATGGGACTGGTCTGCCTCTCTCTTACTGTGAGGCTCCAAGTGTGAGGATCCAATGAGGCCTTTAGCGTGAAAGTGCTTTTAGATGTGCCCAGAGACTTTCAAATGTCTATATCCTTTTATTCATTACTACTTCTGGGGATGTATTGTGGAAAAGTAATCTTTATAGTTGGCTATTGTACAAAGGTATTTGTAGCAGCAATATTCATATGGAAATAAAAAACTCTAATCCTTGTCAAATTTTGTTAACTACATCATAACTGATTTTTGAGTAGTTTTGACTCTTTAAAGTGATAGTTACAAAAGTAGTATGAAAATGAAAATCTTCAACTGATGTAATAGTGTGACAAATAGAACCAAATGCAATAACAGTTAAATTCTTTAGGCATAGAAAATAAAGTGGTAGTGAAAACTTCTGAATTTAATGGCTTTTATTTGGAAGGGTTTTATTTTTATTTTTTATTCAATTATTAGCTCAGAATTATGGGATAGTGGAATTTATATCCTTAAGAACATTTCAAAACCTGTTTCAAATGTTATGTTTCATTATTTATAAATAATAGAACTTTTTAAAAAAAGCAACAAAACTGTAGAATGAGAACCTAGATTCTGAGACCAAGTAAGCATTTTATCATGCTGTCATTTTCAGAACATTTAACAAATCAGAATTGAAGGGATAAAAGTGAGCATTAAATGCATCTAAAAAACAAATGATCTGTTTAAATGTAGGTTATTCTGTTTATGGTATTGGTAGAAGCTATGGTATTTGGAAACAAGGATCTCCAAAGAAGGGAGCAGTGTGAGGTACTGTTTGACTCAGGCTCCCAGGTGACTCTCTGGCCTGCTAGAACTCATCCTGTGCCCCCTTCCTCAGATCTCAGCTCTGGCCATACCAGCCTGATGTTGATCCAATCTCTTCAGCTTCAGCTTCTGCACTACCTCTTTCCTCTGGATCTTCATGTGACTGCTTCAAATACAACTCAAACATCTCGAATGTCACTTCCTCAGAGAAACCTTCCTGGGCTACTCAGTTGAAAATACACCCTCCTGCTCCAATCACTTTCTATCAAATCCTTACTCCCTTTCTGAAATATTTTTGGGCACTTAATGACTAGTTTGCTTCTCTCCTCCTTTGACCCACCCATCCTGCTCTCTCAATCCCATATAAGAAGAACCATAAGGGGGGGGGGCTGTTTTCCTGCCTTTGTTCACTGATATTTTTCCAGTACTTAGAATTGACTCTAGCACACAGCTCACAGTAAGCATTCTGTGAATCATTGTTGAATGAATGAACTTAAATTGTCTCTTTTCTTGCTCTTTCATTTGTTGTATTGTAATTGCCAAAACTGTCATTTACTTCTATAAACTGTAAGGCAGGACACAAATTCTTTCTAGTTACTGGACAGTACTCTGGAGGTTTGATCAGATCATTCCAATATATTCCAGAGTGGTACCTCTTCCTGGCTGGAGCTGGTGACAGGGGCTATTGCAGCAGGCGAAGGTGCTTTTTTGCTAGGTAGCAAGTTCTGATAACTGTCCTTGTTGAAAGGTCTTTCTGAGAGTATGTGGTGAAGGCAACTGAGAAGAGCTGACTTATTGGAAAGGAAGAAGTAAGGAATTATTAAAGATCCCCAGCATTCCAAGATCACATAGTTCTTCTAGCAAGCACAGCTTCACTCAAAATATTCTGGCCTTCTTTCTGAAGTAAAGATGCTCAGGGTCAGCTAGATTCTTCTGTATAGGACTGGTAGCTAATGTCTTGGCATAAAGGACAGTAATAAATGATGGTATAATCAACCTGGCTGGTTTGGGCCCAAATTCGTCTGTTCAAACCCAGATAAGAATCACAGTCTTCTGTCACCTCAGATCAGTTCTGGTCTCAGCATGAGTCTCCTGGAATTCACATAGAATCTGCTGTGCCTGAATCAAAGTAGCTTGAGGCTGGGTCAGGGGGAATGACATTTGAGGATGAGGAATCTAAAAGTGTGGCACCAGTGAAAAATTGAAATAGACCCCAATATTCTGAGTTATTTTTGAATTTATTTTTTTCTAAAGTGGGCTCACATCAAAGGGAATCATATTTTATGGGTGTGTATTTGGCATCTGCCTTACTCTTTATCTGTAGCCATGACATTCAGGGTCTTGGTCTTTGATGAGTGGTGTAGCAGTTGTAGGGGCTCTCTGACTCCAATGGATGAGTAGTGTTGACAATCGGTAGGAATGGTGGTATGGGTATGCATGGGTGAAAATCAACTTTCTGTGTAGCCTGACAAGTGGGAGAGCACTGACTCTGGGCTGGAAATCTTGGGCGTGCTACCATTTTGACAGGCTTGTTTGAAAAAGAGGTTGTTTCATTTATGTACCTATCACTGAGTAGGAAATTCCATTAAAGACTCTTCTTTAGGCTAAACAGTTATTTTTTAAATGCAAAAAATGTCTACATACATATTTCAGTGTTACAAAATGGAGCATTTTTATGTTTTTTTGGTGAGATTTGTAACTACCTAATAAGTCTTGCTCATTAACATATGAATGAAGTTCTATTTATAAATGCAAAAATGCTTGCAAGCAAATATACATTGTATCACAAATTCTAATAAGAATTGTTTGTATCAGATCCTTTCCAGCAGTCAGGGAGATTTTAAAAGAGGAAAATACAGAAAGTGTCAGTAAATAAGCTACATGGGAGAATATACTTTACAGAGGAAAAGCTCGCAAATGCGAAGTGGGTAGGCACCCAAGAAAAACTTAGTTCACTTTACATTTTGATAAACTTTGCCCTGAGCAGAAAAGCCTTTTTGTAGTGTGAACACAAGTAACCTGTTGTGACTATAGGAAGCTTCTCTAAATTCATGACTCATCTCATGTGTGTGAATCTTACATGTTGATTTTAATTTTACTGCCCTCATTTTTCTCCTACATTTCTTTCTCAACTTGTTTTTCTCTCAGTATTGCAAAAATTTTGTAAGTCACCTCAAATTTTGTATGAAGCAAGATACATAGACTATTTATTAATTCATTTATTGAGTCATGTAGCATGGGTACCTAAGGCACACCAGCCCTTACTTAACAGTAGAGGAGACAGTAGCTCCTTGACATCAGTGGATTGTAACATGTTTCTATAACAAAAGCAGAATTTTCCTTCTATTCTCACTATACATTTTAGGTTTTTCAGGGCAGAGGGAGTAAGAGGGTATCGTGTAAAGATTCACAAACCTGTGCAAGGTGGTAGTTGTTCCTTGAGGTCCTGTGGGTGGCTGCAAATAGGGAGGGGGCTGCAGTGGACAACTTCAGAGCTGTGATGAGGAGCACAGCAAGCCCAGATGCTGGGAGCACCTTCATCTCCTCTCGGTGGCTTGTTAATTATATCAGCCTGGGGTCGGCAGACAGCATACATTTGCACTTCGACCTTGAGCTGCTTTTATAGAGTCAAGCAGGTCTGGGCCCTCAGAGCAAAGATGATTCATGTCTCAAAAGGTAATTATACAGCTCATTTCTCTCCTTGATGATGGGGTAACAAATTGGTACACAGGAGTCAGGGAAAGTTTCATTCCTCACAATTTACCAGGTCAAAAAGGAGAAAAACAGTTACTTTTTTTGCCCATTTTTTGTTTAATTTTATATTTTTTACATCATTCTTCATTTTGTGTATTTTTTCATCTTGGTTGTAACCCCCATGGGCTTCCTACCGCCAATTCACGTGTGCCATCACCACAGTCCAGTGCACTCTTCCCACCCCAGTTCCGATCCATTCCCCTTTCTACCCCCATAAAATATCTGGTTTATAGTTGTTCATTGTTTTCAATTTTACTCTATTATGTTTCTCTCTCTCTCTTCCCTTGCCCCCTGCCCCACCCCAATCCCTTATGCTCCTGATCTGAGCAAAATCATCTTGTATTTTTCATTTTCTTCCTGGCTTATTTCACTAAGCATGATCCCTTCCAGCTCCAACCATGTTGCTGCAAAAGGCACGAGTTTATCTTTTTTGATTGCTGAGTAATATTCCATTGTGTATATGTATTACATCTTTAAAAAAAAAAAGTTACTCTTAATGAAGTTTGTGTGCTACTTACACAAACTGGAGTAAACTTGATTGATTTGAACCCAACTGAAAGATCTGATTAGTCTCAGTTTAGGGTCCTTTTCCATTCTGCTTTCTAAAAAGGTATCCCATTAACATATGATTTAATTTGTCCTCAAGGTAATTCTTAGATGCCCACACATTCAGTCTAGTTGCTGTAACTTCTGCTTCTATTTCAGCATTTCTCAGTAATAAAAACTGTTCATAGTGATGGTTTGTGGGATGCATAAGATTCTGACCCATGAAGGGAATGTTACATTATATTGTGCTGACTTAGGGTAGAAAGAAAACAGAGGGTTAGAAAGTTTTTGAATATGTTAACAGAAATGCTTCTTAACAGAGTTTACCAGAACCTTAGGTAGAACTCCCCACTCTCTACATTCTGTTTTCTGGCCCCAAGTAATATCTTCCCTCCCTCCCTCTTCTCTCTTTTCGCCATCTCTGATTTAGATAGATATTGGTCTAGAGATAGCATACAGAATAGCATTGATGATGGGAAAACAGTTTGGCATCAGACAAAAGGTTAGGTTTTGTTTGAGGTGCTTCCTAGGTTTGTGACTTTGTACATGGCCTTTATCCTCTCTGACATTAGTTCTTTAAGTGATTCAAGTCATAGTTCTGGTACCTGTCCATATGATATTGGGCAGGTTATGTTTAGCTGTAGCATTTTCATCTATAAAATAGGAAAAAGCATACTTGCTTTGTTGTATTGTGATAAAAGAGTAAATCAGATCATACTACAACCGTTATTTAGCTCAGTGCTTAGCTTTTACAAAATAATGTTTAATTCATAGCTTTTACAAAATAATGTTTAATTCATATTTTTACTTTGGTACCAGCCACCTGGTAAGTTTTTTTTTTTTTTTAAATTAATGTCTTTGAATGGATAAATAGTCCCTGGATGGTCAGCATCTGTTGCATAAGAGCTTGCCAGAAGTGCAAGTTCTCATACTCCACCCACACAAACTTAAACTCAATCAGAAATTCTGGGGATGGGTGCTGGCAGTTTATGCTTTAACAAGTCCTCAGATAATAATGATGCATGCTAAAGTTAAAGCATCACTGTATTAGTTGAACAAGTAGGATTTTGGGTTTGGGGTGAAATGGAAAATCACAAGTACTGAGAACATCCCAGACACAGAAAATACCAATACTTCCTTTGTTTCCAGGAGCAGTTCTTTTTTAGGGGTGACATACCTGGTATTTGAAAGTCATTTGTGAGGTCTATTGCAAATAATTTATCGCTAATATTTGCTAAGCCACAAAAATATGCAAATGACTCACATTTTCACTAGATTCAGAGTAGTTTCTATAGTAATATTACTCTCTTTCTCTCTCTGACACACACACACACATTTAAAAAAAGATTTAATTTATGTATACAAGAACTGGGGTACAGGTGAGAGATGTGAGGGGTGGGTGAGAAAATTCACCAGAGACAGAGTGGGGAGAAGAACAGGAAGATCTACTGAAATACATTGCAGAGGGGAGCAGCAGGAAGGTTGGGAGAGGTCTGCCATGCCATGTGGGTCACCTCTGGCTGGGTTCGAACTTGAGCTGCAGTGGCTACAAACAGCTTCAGACAGCTTTGTAGTGCTGTGCTTTCACCGGTGGTACCACCAGGGAGAGCCATACACACATGCACACATATTCTGATATAGTTTTCTGCATGGAAGAGAAAACTGAAGTTACAGGTGGTGTGTGTAGGTTAGTAAGTAACCTCAGATACTCAAGAGTTTGCCACACCTGTGAACATTATCTCTGTCATGTGCTGTAAGGCACAAAAACATGAACCACAGATGTAGTAAACTAATTCAAAACCAAATCATAAGTTCTGTGAAGACTGAATGATATAAATCAATTTGTTTTAGAAGTGAATGTTTGATCATAAGACAGAAAAGATTATTACAATGTCTTTATATTTTTGTATCATATGTTCTTCTGTCCTCTGTGGTGCTCTTGTACCTTCATAGTAGCTGTCAAAATTGAAGAAGATTGAGTCCTTGACACTCCCTTCCATTTGTTCATCATTCTCTTTGTTTCTTCCTAGACCACTATTTTAATTTAGTGTGAT